CCACGGTTCACATCCCGGACCCGGTGGCTTAAACTCACGCCGGGTACATGTGCGTGCGTGCCCAAGATCCCGAGAGGAGAATGGAGAGGAAGGGATTGTGGCATGACCATGCCCCCTGGGGAGTGATTTCTCGCTTTCTGTCTCTCTGTCTCTCTCTCTCTGTCTGTTTGGCGAGCACATGCGCCCTATAGCAAAAAAAGAAGAAAAAAACTCTTAAAAAAGTTGCAAGTGATTAAATATATAATCATTGTACTAAATGTAACGCTTTATCTTGAAACAGTGCTGCACTTTGTGGAGGTGGTAAACTTAGGGAGGACTGTGTCCTTGAGTTACTGGGAGTGCTGGACGGAGTGATGAGACTCGAGAGGGGAAGGTGCAGCGCCAGCCATGGGGCTCAGACCACATGCCCCCTCCAGGGCGCCCTGCACAGCTCGCCCCAGCTGCTGCCACCTCTGTGCTTACCTCATGTTTCTCACACAACATGTGGAACAACATGGGGAAACAAACACAAGATGTGAACTACGCTAAAATTACTCACTAATATGTTCACCACCGAAGGACAGAGGTACCCTTTCCCAGGCATTTTATCAGCTCTGTACGCCCAGACCATAACAGGTCTTACAATCATACAGAAAACAGAACATCTCTTCCTTTTCATTGCTGCCAGAGAGAGAGGGGAAGAGCAGTAGAGAGTAATAGAGAGGGGCGAGCTCAAGCACTCCCCCGCCCCAGTGGCTTGTGCTTACACTGAACTCCCTTTCCATTTTTCTATCTTGCCAGGATTTGGGGCACCATGTGCTCCTGGCGGGGTCAAACCGTGGGGACTGGGATTCAAACCACTATTAGTCATGTAAGAGCCAGCTCGCTTAACCACCGTGCCACGAGACCAAGACCAGCCTGGCCTCCCTTCCTTCATTGCTCCTCTCTGTCCAGTTATTCTTCGCAGGCAGGGAGTACAGACATTTGTCTGAGTAAAGAAATTAAATGAAGTTTGTCTCTCACGTAGTTCCCTAGGGCTGCCACAGTAAGTTACCACCAATCTGATGGCTTTTTAAACAACAGAAATGAATTCTTTCACAGTTCTGGAGGCCGGCAGTCCGAAATCGGGTCGTTGGCAGAGCCGTGTTCTCTGTGGCGATTCTAGGGAGGCACCTTCTTTGCCCGTCCTAGCTTCTGGTCGTTGCCAGCCTCCTTGTCATTTCTCGCTCAGCTCCGTCACTGCAGCCCCTGCTCTGCTGTCACATGGCCTTACGAAAGCACCGGCCATTGGGTTGAGGGCCCACCCTAAGTCAGTAAGACTTACGCCAAGGCCGTATTCGCACATCAGACCACATTCACAGGGACTGGGAGTTAGGACTTGGGCATATTTGGGGGTTACAGTTCTACTCACAGCACCTCTCCCCTCTCCTCCATACACACAACTTCAGTTTTAATGAAGTTGCATGCAGCGTTGGAATTTGCATCCTGTCTCACTAAATCAGTTAGTGTTTGTTAGCAACATCTTGATTTGGATAATGGTCACTCTTACCCACTTGGGTATTTGAGAGACTTTCTTCTCCCTACATTTTTTCCCCTACCTACCTGTTTTGTCTTTAATTGTTGGAGGGTGCCTCTGCTCACCCGAGATAAACAGAGCACACCCAGGGAGGTGTGGTAACCCCAGTCTTTTCTCCTCTGTTTCTCCATCCTGTCGGGCTGTAAGCGTGCGTGCCCAGGGGATCGCATGTTTCCTGAGCCTTTGGAGACAGTGTTCAAGTTGTAGTCGTTGAGCGCAGTTCACTGGACTCCCACGTAGTTGACTGTGGTTCGCATCTCGGAACTGCGACCTTAAACTCACACCGGCCGTGTGTGTGCGTGCACGCGCGCACCCAGCATTTCAAGAAGAGATTGGAGGGGAAGGGACTGTGGTGTAGCTACCCGCCCTGGGGGGGGTGATTTCTCACTTTCTGTCTCTTTGGCAAATGCTTGAACTCTATTAAAAAAAAAAACTCTAAAGAAAATAGAAGACAGGGTTTTGCTGTGTCTTGATCCTCCTGCCTCAGCCTCCCAGGTCATTGGGGTCACAGGCTCGTACCAGTGCATCGTCCAGCCTTTAGGTGAACTGAGACTTGAACTCAGGCCTACAGCGTGGGCCGCCTCCCACGTGGTCTCTGTCACAGAGCACAGCATCCTAGCAGCACGTGACACCACACTGGGCCTCCGCCCACATTTCCGTATTTTCACGGAGGCGGGCCTGGAGACTCCTCAGTCACGTGACTGCTTCATTTCTGCATGGGGTAACGGCTTAGGGAGGAAATGAGAATTGATAGGCAGGGAAGGGAAGTCAGTCACTGGCTTGCAGATCTCGGGGTTGGACAGGGCCCTTCTGAAGGCCACCCTACCTGGGGCAGGCGATCCTAGCAGCTGAGGGAGGTGTGTGTCTGCAGTCTTGGAATCAAACACTGAAATCTAATCCTTCTCCCGAGGCCGTCTGTCTCGTGTTTCGCTTTCCGGGAGACTGTGTATGCCACAGGTTGTGACAGCGAAGAGACTGTCCTCCCCTCTCTCTGAATGCGTTCTCCCTCAGCCTCAAGCTTTAGACTGTCATGGAAAGGATGCCGCGTACCGGGCTGCGCGCCCAGCGGTCTCCAGCTTGCCCCTTACGTCCCGGTTCTGCTGTCCTCCGGCCGGGCCGTGGTGTCCCAGTGCCTCAGCCTGCAGGGCTGCGCCTTCCCTGGCCTCCTCTCCTGCCTCAAGTCCCTGCTCAGTGTCACTCCTTCAGAGCACTTCCTCCCAAGGCTGCCCCCAGCTCCTTCCCCACCTCATGCCCTGTGCTCTGCTTTCCATTTTCTACGGTCCACTTTCTGCCGACTAGTACGCCGTAACGTTAATGCTCTTGTTCGTTCCTTCCGGGACGGTCAGCTGCATGAAGGAAGGGCCTTCATGTTGTTCCTATCCCTCCCCAAGCACCGCAGATAGTGCTGGAGACAGTGGGCACTCGGTAAGCATTTGTTAAGAGATTGAATCTTTTCTTGTCTGTTTCATTTTAATTTGAACCAACCAACATTGCCTGATGTTTTCATAGTGGAAAACGGACAAATCTGTTGCGTTAGATGATGCAAATTTGTTGTCTGAACCTTGGGCTTTTATTTTATTTTAGAGAGAGATTTTTGCTCTAGGGTGCATGCACTCACTGGAGAGACAGAGAGAGACAGAAAGCAAGAAATCACCCCCCCAGGGGGGATGGCCACACCGCATTCCCTTCTCCATTCTCCTCCCAGGATTTTGGGCATGCACACACACGGCATGGGTTTCAAGCCTCTGGGTCCGGGACTTAGACCACTGTCGGCCATGTGGGAGTCCAGCGACATAACCATTCTGTCATCTGCTGCTCCCAGGATTTTATTTTATACGAGCAGTTTATCGAGAGGTGGCACAAGGCTGGCTCAGTGGCCTGGTGGTTAAGGCAACTGGCTTCCACGTAGTTGACCCCACGATTCAAGTCCCAGACTCAGTGGCTTTGAGAAGCACTGTGGGCAGGCATGCGTGTGTATTGCATGCCCCGAGTCCCAAAAGGAGGGGACTCTCTTCTGTCTGCCCACTCCCAAGGGCATGTGTTTTCTCCTCTCTGTCTCTCTCTGGTGAGTGCGCAGCCCCTGTAGCAAAGAAAGCCAAAAGGAAAAGAGGCGGTGCAAATGCCAGACCCCCATAAACACATCGTGTCACAGGAGACTGGGTCCCAGCCAGGGGTGCAGCACACCTCCCTTATCCAAGAGCCCTGCTCACCATGGGCCTGCGGGTCTCCCGAGAGAGGCGCAGGGCTCCCAGCGGGGCACCTGGCCTGGGAAAGGCCAGACGGGAGCTAGAGCAGCTGCAGAGAGCTTCACAATAGGAGTGAGAGGTCGCTCTCACCGCACCCGCTACTTGGTCGTGGCCGATGTGGTTAAGCCAGGACTGGGAAGAGGCAGGCTGTGAGAGCTTGGCTCCTGAATGTGGACGCCTCAGGAGAGTCAGGGTCAGGGCCTGCCACCCGCGGTGCCTCCCCACAGAGAAGTGTCTTCTCCTCACATGCCAGGCCCTGCGCTGTGCCTGGGGAAATGGCAGAGAGTCATCCGAGTCTCTGTCCCTGAAGACCGCGGACCAGGAAGTGGGAGTGAGTTGGAGGGCAATCAAGCAAGGACTCCCTGTACCCTGTCACTCAGCAAGTGGGCCTTTGCTTCATGGAGGAGAGGAAGCAGTCATTCCCAGGGTTTGGCTTATGCGGATCAGTATTACCTCAGAAGAGTTAGGGTGCCCACCTTTTTTCCTTCCGTTTTTCCTAGCGGGTGTGTACACTTGCTGGAGAGAGACAGAGATGGAAAGTGAGAAAGTACTCCCGGGGGTATGGCCACACCACAATCCCTTCTCCTCCATCCTCCTTCCTTTCCGGAGTTTAGGCACACACAGGTGTCCGGCATGTTTTCCAAGCTACCTGGTCTGGGACTTGAACCATCCAGTTGGCCATGTGGGATCCAGTCACCTAACTACCACACCATTGGCTGGTCCCCCACATTTCTTGTTATCCCAGGACAGGATTGGTTGGTTGGTTGATTTTTTTTCCCTTTGGTTAAACCCATCATCTGTTACTTACTGTCACCTTCACTTCATTAAAACAGAAGGGGACATTTTTATTTTTAAAATAATGGGGAAATATAATCCTGGAATAAAATTAGCTTTGTGAAATTCTTTTTCTGAAAAGCTCACAGTTGTATTTTGTTTTTTTCACTTCACCACGGACTGGTGAAACTGCATCTGGGACCAGCATTAAGTCCAGGACCGGCACTTAGCAGTCACCTTTGGCCACCCCCGCAAGTGCACGGACAGGTCCCATGACGCTCCGTGAGTGCAACCTCCATCTTGTGTCTTGTAGATTGTGACAGACCAGCAGACAGGACAGAAGATCCAGATTGTCACCGCAGTGGACGCCTCTGGGTCTCCCAAGCAGCAGTTCATCCTGACCAGCCCAGATGGAGCTGGAACTGGGAAGGTGATCCTGGCTTCCCCAGAGACGTCCAGCGCCAAGCAGCTCATCTTTACCACCTCGGACAATCTCGTCCCCGGCAGGATCCAAGTAAGGCCTGCTGACGTGTGTGTGTTCTGTTCTTCCTTCCACCTTGGGGGCCACATCCGTCCTCAGGGGACCTGCAAACATGGCAGGTCGCTACTCTGGCCGGCACGACAAGCCAGCAAAGGAGTGGCAAGGCCCAGCAGGCAGTGGCAGGGTGTGGGAGTTCAGTCAGCAGAGGCCCACGGGAGACTGGCCAGAGCAGGCTGGCTGTGAGGCCACTAGAGGGTTGTTTTCAACCATGGCCAGCAGGTGGTAGCTCTCAACACGAGACTTTTCCACTTGGTCAACAACAGCGTCTCCGCACGTAGTCGCCTTGCCTCAGCCTTCCAGCTGAGACTTTAGGCACACGCCACCACACCTGGCCCACGGTGTCTTTTCTTAAGAGAGATTTTTGCCATGGGGCTTGTGTTCTCACCAGAGAGACAAAGTGAGAAATCAACACCCCAGAGTAGGGGGATGGCCACATCCTAATCCCTGCTCCTCCGTTCTCCTCCTGGGATCTTGGGCACGCATGCACACGTGCCCAGCGTGAGTTTCAAGCCACTGGGTCTGGGACTCGAACTGTGGCCAGCCATGTGGGAGTCCAACGACATAACCACTATGCCATTTGCTGGTCCCAGCCCATAATATCTTTTTTTCTTTAGAGGTTTTTGCTACAGGGCACGTGCGCTCACCAGACAGACAGAGACAGAAGCGAGAAATCACCCCCTGGGGGTATGGCCACGCCGCAATCCCTTCTCTTCCATTCTCCTCTCGGGATCTTGGGCACATACGCACATGCGCCCATCGTGAGTTTAAACCACTGGGTCCAGGACTTGAACCGTGGTCGACTACATGGGAGTCCAGCGACATAGCCATTACGCCAACTGCTGGTCCCATATCTTAAAGGCACCTCCTGGGGCAGACCACACACAGCCCGATGAGAACTCCCTTGTTTCTGACCTCTGATTTGTCCAAATCCTCAAACATGATTCCAGCTCTTCACTGTGGTCTTACCTGCTCCTGTGCAGTGCTGGCCTGGCCCCTCAGTTCTTGTCTGTCCCTGCTCTGGTTGTGTCCACTCTAGCCAGGCCGGATGGGCCTGCAGTGGTGCACAGGAAAGAGGGGAGGACTGCAGAGAGCAGCGTTGCTGCTCGGCGTGAGGTCAGGAGCACTGACTTTCCAACCCGATACCCGTACGGAGACTCACGGCCAGTGCCCTGTGTGGCCAGGCGTGGAGTGTGTTAGTCGGGGTCAAGGTCAGACCCCTTTACCGTCCGTCCGCTAGATGTCAGAGGGCGTGTATGCATGCCGGTGAGAGAGAACACCCCCAGCCGCGCCTGTCACCCTGCAGCCCTTCCTCCGTTTCCCCGTCCTGTCAGGGTCCGGGACACGTACCTGGTGTGTGCCTCTGGGGCCAGAATCCAAACCGTGGTCAAGCACGTGGGCTCCGTCTCCCTCTGCCCAGCACTTAACTGCTATGCCACGTGCTTGCCCCGTCTGTCTCTCATTGTTAATATTTTAATGAAAACGCACACCGTACGGGATTGCTCGTTATCATTTTATGCACAGTTCAGTGGCGTGGGGTCTGTTTATGTTGTGGCACTGCCATTCGTGTCAGGAACGCTTTTCAGCTTCCCACACGGAAGCGTCTGTCCCCACTTCCCCACCCCTGGTACGGCAGGTGCTGGCGGTGCGTGTTCACAGGTGACTCGGCATAGGGTTTCTGTGTGTGCCACTGTGAGTAAGTCGTTCAGGGTTTAGCACTGGCTCAAAATCAGGGACATGTTTTATTTATTTATTTTTATCGAACTTCATTTACTTATTTGCTTGCTTGTTTGTTTGTTTTAATTTAACCAGAGAGGGACAGAGTGAGAGCGAGAGAAACAGAAAGTGAGAAAGCAAGCTGCCAGGTCCAGGACTCAAACCATGGTTGGCCATGTGGGAGTCCAGCGCTCTTAAACCACCATGCCACCTGCTGGCCCCAAGGGACACGTTTCATTAACAGCTGTTTCTCAGTGTTCCACACTGGTGCCCGTGACGTGTTCTCCCAGACGAGTAGCGCCTTTGCCACCTGCAAGTGAGGGCACACAGCTGGTTTCAGGGGCCGTCAGCAGTCACCTGTGTTGGCGCTCCTACCCGCTCCCTCAGTGAGGAACCGAGTCGGTGACTGGCCCGTCAGAAAGGTCATGAGGCGTTCTCTGTTTTCTCTGCAGCTGCATCACGACTTTTCGGACAGCCCAGTACTTAATAAAGCTTGATTGTTTCTCTGCCACATACACCTCACTGCATATGTGGAGTGGACCTGTGGGAGCAGGGAGACCCTTCAGTGTTCATTTCAGGTGGTGTGGGTGTGATTCCCACACGGCCCCCCATCTTAGGAGGCCGTGGTAGCCAGGCACAAGAGCAGATAAGAGAGCCAGGGCCTGAGCCCGGAAAGCCGCCCAGCCGACGGGAGCCCAGTCCAGTGGCAGCCACAGTCTGGGCGTCAGAACAACTCGCCTGCGCCTGCCGGAATTTCCCCGCTCTGCCCGGAATTCTCCTTAGAAACAGACCAGAAGTCGATAGGTCCACATCACCGTTAGGGACATGGCTTTTACTCGGTGCCGTTTGTCTCCTGCTCCTTAGATCGTCACGGATTCTGCTTCTGTGGAGCGCTTGCTCGGGAAGGCGGACGTCCAGCGGCCCCAGGTGGTGGAGTACTGTGTAGTCTGTGGGGACAAAGCCTCCGGTACGTGCTCCGGGATCCTGGCCCCAAACGGCCCATCACCCCATCTGTCAGCAGTGGGCAGGAGCTCATTTAGGAAGAACTACTTTTTGGGGGGGAGGGAGAGGTTTTTGCTATAGGGTACGTGCGCTTACCAGAAAGACAGAGACAGAAAGTGAGAAATCACCCCCCCCCCCCCGGGAGATGGCCACGCCACAATCCCTTCTCCACTCTCCTCTCAGGATCTTGGGCATGCACGCACACGTGCCCAGCGTGAATCTAAGCTACCGGGTCCAGGACTCAAACCGCGATCAACTACATGGGAGTCCAGCGACATAGCCATTATGCCATCTCCTGGTCCCAGAAAGAACATTTTTGTAGGTTTATTGGTTTCTGATGTAAACCTCACTCTTCCTTTTTTTAAAAGAGAGGTTTTTGCTGTAAGGTGCGTGTGCTCTCCAGAAAGACAGAGAGAGAAAGACAGAGACAAAAAGCAAGAAATCACTTCCCGGGGGGGATGGCCACACCACAGTCCCTTCTCCATTCTCCTTTTGGGATCTTGGGCACGCATGCACACGTGGCCCAGGTGAGTTGACATTCCTGGGTCTGGCCCTGGAACTGCGTTCGACTACATGGGAGTCCAGCGACTCAACCATTACGCCATCTGCTGCTCCCCAAACCTCACTCTTCTTATTGGGGTAGTAATGTAAATAAACCAGTTTATCAGGTTGTTAGCATCAAACCGAAAAGTCAGGAGACTGTGCTATCTGTTGGTGTTGACCCAGTGTCTGGTTTTATGTGTGCGTGAGAAAGGAGTCACGCCCGGAATGGAGGCAGTGCCTGAACAGGGCGCTGCTGTTTCACGCGGTGTGCTGCACGTGTAACTGCCCCATCCTAACCGGACCGTGTCATCCCTCCACGGGAACCCGGTGTGACAGACTGCTGCAGTAGAGGGGGAGCATGTGCTTCGGGCCAGAGGCCATCGCACCTGTGAGTGGGTGGCTGAGTGTGTGCGTGCTGAGTTAAGCCCATGCGTGGGAGTTTCGTGTCCTTGGGGGAGAACTCGTGGGCTTCCGTTGAAGGATGCAGATGAAGGAACTCTAGAGAAGCTGTCCTCAGGTCAGACTTGGACCTCCTGGCTAGGGAGCCATGGAAGGGAAGTGAGGCGGCAGGCGGGGATGGGGAAGCGTTTGATAAGGGAACATGCCTTATCATGGCGTCAAGGGCGAAGGCCTGAGATGCGGCCTCCCCAGCAGCGTCGTCATGAAATCGGGTTACTAAGTAAGACAGAACCAGAGAGACATCCGTGGTCTGTCCCTGCTGAAGCAGACGGGGTGTGATGTGAGAGAGCGCTTTGTGAGCCTGCAAGGGCGAGCTGAGTGATGACTGGTTCCACTTTATTCTCTGGTCACAAAATTCACAGGCACTTGGTCGCTTCGTAGTCGTTTGGTTCTATTTTGTTTTGTTTTATCTTATTAAAGGGAAGTTGGACCAAAATTCTTAGAAAGACAGCCCCAAGCAAAGCATTGACAGAAGCTCAGCAGCCCCAGTTCCCCTCCAAGCCGGTGACACCATTTTGCTTGGTGGAGCCTGGCTCTGCTCCACTCCCGTCCTCCCCGTCTCTGAGTCCCTCTCTCCTAGGAGATGGCAGACAGTGCTGCCTTTGGCCCCAGTGCCTTCAGTTCAGACCTCTTTAGGCATGCGTTCCTTCCCTTCAATGACGTCTTCCCCCTTCAGAACGCTGGAGCAAGGAGCAGGCCATCCGTTCCTTCTGAACACCCATCATTTTGTCCTGAGAACAGGCACTCCGCAGACCTTGAATAAGTGGATAGCCGTAACAGAAAGGCCACGGAGTCTGCCATGCCCCCATTTTTTTTGAGAATAATTATTTAATTATTGTTTATTCATTATTATTATTTTGTTTTAATTCGACCAGAGAGAGAGAGAGAAAGTGACAAAGCAAGCCACCAGGTCCGGGACTTGAACCGTGGTTGACCATGTGCGAGTGTCCAGCGCTCTAACCACCACGCCACCTGCTGGTCCCCCGTGCCCCATTTGTTAGTCCTCTCGTGCACTTACAGGGAAAGCCTAGTCCTAGGTTTCCAGTGCTGTTGTCTCCAGTAGTGGGAGTCAGTGGGACAGAGAGGGAGCTCAAGGATGCACACTTCAAGGGAGGGCAGACGGCATCCTCAGAGGTGGTTTTAGCAAGGCTGTCCTTAAAAGAAAACTTGGAGCCTCCAACTGCACACGTGGGAGTTGATTCCTCCTAGTTGAGCTTAGAGCGCTGAGGTCCTTTGTGGCCACCCTGTGAAATCGGGTTCCAAGTAAGACAACCAGAGAGTTATCCATGGTCAATCCGTGGTCAGTCCCTGCTGGAAGCAGACGAGGTGTGAAATGTGTGAAAGCGCTTTGTGAGCCAGGAAGGGCGAGCTGAGGCGGGGGGACTTTGTAAGTCACTGGTAGGCAGCTGGACAGAGCAAGACCCTGGACTGTGTTAATAAAGTCGTCCTAGGGTGTGTTAGGGGCCTGGTAGCTAATCTGGTGAGCCACGTGGGGACCTTCTCTTGCCCTGGCCTTTGAGGCACAGCCCCGGTGCTTCTCCCCCAGGAGAGCTAGAGGGCCCAGGGCGGAAATCAGTGGGAGTGAAGGCAGGAGTGACAGCCTGTATTAAAGGCACCCATACGTGTCTGCACACGCTCCTGGAGCACGGAGCGGAGCAGCTTCCCAGGCTTGGGTGTGCACATGTGGACAGTGCTCAGCCACCGCCTGTGCCCACCTACTGTGTGCTGAGAGCCAGGCTGCAGTTTGCCAGAGGTCACATAGCCCGTGTGGGCTTTAGCTTTTCCTTTATCACCTGAGAAGTGTACTTTGTTTTCTTTTAAGGAATTATTATTTAACTTTATTTATTTAGTTGTTTGCTTATTTTAATTTGGCCAGAGAGGGACAGAGAGAGAGGGAAAGTGAGAAAGCTAGCCGCCAGGTCTGGGACTCGAACCATGGTTGGCCATGTGGGGATCTAGTGCCCTCAACTGTCATCTTCAAAGTCTCCTTTAAAGATTACAGGGAAACTTTGTGAAGGAAGTAGCCCTTACATCTAATGTTCAGGCCCGTGGTCACCCACATGGCTGCCGGCATCCGACAGCGTCTGCCCCAGTCACTGGATAGATGGACCCTCCCACGGCCGGAGGCG